GCGAGATATTACATGTTTTATTTCATTTAACTGCCACTTTATGGGTAATTTCAGAAAAATTGCATATTTAAAAAGTCTTTTTTTCAGCAGAAGTTATAAGTTACACTGAAAAGTTATCCATGGTGAACTGTACAAGTAGTATTAGTATTTTCATCCAAAGACTCTTCAAGTATCGAGCAAACCAGATTAAATATTAAGGGCGTCCAACGAAGGCATCGACCTGACTGCCTCTGCCTCGCTTCCCTTCGTCTTCTCTGTCTGCCCTTCCTCCTGTCCCCTCCCTGCTCCCCTCATTACCCCCTTTCTGTCTCTCTGGGTGGAATCACCACCGCAGTGAGAGTGTAAAGACAGGGTGATGTACTGATAGGATAGCCTGTCTGCTACAGTAAGTGCCACTGCACTCCCTTAGCTATCGATTGGGCCTCTACTGCAGCAATCAATAAATAAATTCATAAATAAATGAAAACACCCCCCTTATCGGGTAATTTACTCCACAGCTGGCTCTCAAACTATAGTGCAGAGCTTTGCTTGTTTACTATCAGTTCTCTCAGGGCTAAAAGTACAGTTGCCATACATATGATGATGAGTTTAGGTTTGATAGGTTAAAGGTACATGGATATTAGTGAAACATGGACTTATACACCTATGTAGTTACCTTTCTCACTCACTATGTGTTAATAGACCTCTCTGCACTGAATTATTTTTGTTATTAATCTCTGGTTCATCTTTTGCTCTGTCTTCCTTCTCTCACCCCACTGGTCGTGGCAGATATCCCCTGCATCTGCTGGAGGTCTCTTCCTGTTAAAAGGGAGTTTTTCCTTCCCACTGGCGCCAAAGTGCTTGCTAATAGAGGATCATATGATTGTTGGGTTTTTCTCTGTAGGTAGTATTGTAGGGTCTACCTTACAATATAAAGCACCTTGAGGCGACTGTTGTGATTTGGCACCATTAAAATAAAATGGAATTCAATTCAATATACAAACCTATATATAGTAAAAGATGGACTTAGCATCCTTGCATAGGATAGAAAATGAGCATATGTTCCAGGTCTGAAAAGTGAAGCCAACACCAAAGTATCTTACTCCATTATTTTTAATGACTAACAGGTGCCAACCTTGGAAGCTGCAAAAGATTCTGAGTTGTATAGAACTCATCCATCTATTTTCTACCACTTATTCAGGGTTGGGTGGAAAGACAAGCTGTCTGAGCAGATCTCAGTTCAAAAAGCCTATGGGAAAATAGTGCTTGGGTTCCTTTCCTCACTGACCTCAGTAAACTCTGCCTTATGAGTTTATGGGCTTAGTTGCTAACATTAGGTCATTCATCAACTTCATCTGCTTCTTCAATTCAGCATTAGAGTACTATCCCAGCTACAGGTTGCCAATCAATTACAAGGCTAACACATAGGAACAGACAATCATTCACACTGAGTGCCAACTTTGAATCATCAACTGACATACCTGTGCATGTGTTTGGACCCAGAGAGAACCCACACAGACACAAACAGAACAGCCCCTGAGAGGCAACAGTGCTAGCCACCACACAGCCATGCTACCCAGCTCTGGGTGATATTAAACTGAATATTAAATTCATTTTGAAGTTGATTACCCATGACTTCGGCTACTTGAAAATCACAAGCCGTTAATCAAAGACTGTGCGGTATAGCAACCAGGGCCACCCCATGCTCCATGTACAAGTATTTAAACCAGCATTAATGTCAGTGTCCAGTAGGAGACGACTCTTCTAGTTACAAAAATACGTCTTGTTGTATAGAAGTCTGTGGGGAAACGACCCTCAGATTGTGTCATCCGTAACCTCAGTAAATGCTGATGACCAGTTTAGAAACTCAACTCAAACTACGACTAGACTCAAAACCACATGAACGTGCTGTTTCCCCTCAATTTCAAAACACCAAGAGGGTGACAGTGAAAATGTCCAGGGTTAACTAACCAGTGGGTAATGTCAGGGTATCTACTTCCAATCTTTTATATACGGTCTGTGGTTAGGTCAGGTCTGGCACATTCAATGTGACTACACTGACTTTTCTTCATGCTCTGAAACAGAAAGAAATAAAACAACACCCATCTACCATTCACATTTTGTACAAATGCTGTTGCGTTCAAGTCCCATGCAAATGATTCTGAACATATTAAGACAGAAAGCTCCAATCTACTAGTCTCCCTCTTTATCATGCAAATGCGGTACGGTATCTATTTAACACTCTGCTTTCACAAATCAGAAACTCTTCCCCTGCACATCTATCTGCCTTTCTACACCTTCCACCTGCTCCGTGGAGCCATCCCTCCATCATTCCCTCCTGACAGGGAGGTGATTAGCAGAAGACAGTCCAGACCTGCTGAAAAAGCAGCTTAGCTGTAATTATCGTCTAGGAAAGAAACTAACAGTTCATCAGAGCCTTCCTCCGCAGACTTAACAACTGTTGCCAGGATATATCAAATGCTCGACAACCAGCCGTTACCTTGGTTACCATTGTCTCTGCAAGTCTGGGGGCTCTCCATACAGATGAGATTTTTTTTTTCATTTGTTCAGAAATACTAGAACCCATGAAAACAGCTAAACATATTAACATACACTCAACGCCCACACTCTGTGATGTAAGCCAACATACGTGCAGACACCATCAGCTACAGACATGCAAATAAGACTGGTTTTCTGCCACTTTCCATATTGTGCATGCTCTGATAAAAACACACACTCTTCTGATGCCAAACATTTCCATCAATTATTCTTCCGGAAATCAAGATCCTTAACACTTGCGAGGGCAGGCTGCCATACCAAACCACCTTAAACAGTCTGTCCATGATTGTGATATGTGCACATATATCCTAGGATATATCCTAGCAAGATTTTTGAACATTTCCCTTTTTATACTCTAGTTCAGCAGCAATGGAGGACAAAAACACAATGCATACAAGATCTGTGACAGTGTATACTTAAGTCCAAAAGTTAAAGTTTCTTGTACTGGTTACTTATACTGGTTTCACATAACAATATGTATTCCAATTCAGAGGTTATGTTTTTTGAATTTTATCATCCCACTAAATATAGATATTACTTCAGATAGGGTATTACATATCTGCAAGCTGCTTTGCAACCTGCATTTTACACAATCTAAATTTCATGTTGCATTTGATAAAATGTTGCTCTTTCATATATGCAAATATCTATCTATCTATCTATCTATCTATCTATCTATCTATCTATCTATCTATCTATCTATCTATCTATCTATCTATCTATCTATCT